TTGTGCTAAGTAACTAACTAAATTATTGATTAGAAATAAAAAGTAAAAGATATTATAACTTTCAGTTAGTCACGCCTCCTGTTCTTCCTTCTTCAGGCTGAGGAGATATAGAACAAAAGTTTTTAAGTATTCTTATAGAAGACTGGTTCTTGGTTACCCCGAATTAGAGTTGAACCATTTATAGCAGCAAGTTTATATGTATACATAAAATTTAAATAATAACTAACAACTAACAGTGGAACTTCACCCTGACTGCCCTTGGGGCTTCAGCATCTCTGTCTCTCTTACATCTGTTTCTTTGATAATTTTTAACAATTTAAAAACAGAAAGAGGGAGATTTAACATTATAGGTACACCTTCACCTCACATGCAAATGTTAAGAATAAGTAAATAACAATAATATATATTAATATCAGATGTAAATGTAAACATTTTAAATATTTTTTTCCAACTTGAAGATGTTGGTTTATAAGTGTGCAGCGGTAGTCGCGTGCAGCAGTCCAGTTTTTATTAATTAATTTACAATATAAAAACATAACAAGACCATAGCAACGCCAACTTTAAATAACGAACTATGACGATATAATATGTATGCAAATTACCAAAGAGTTTCCTCTAATACACCCCTTGATTTGCATACACATTTAACAACAAATATGTACTAAATAGTCATTACAAAAATATACAGACATGCAATCTTAATCTACACCTAACATTGAGATGCAGCGGTAATGTTTCTGTCTTTGTAAAGCTTTTGTTAGCACATCCGCCGCCATCTCCTCGGTAGACACATACGATAATTGTATGTCAGTATTCTCCCTTAAAACACTTCTTATAAAATAATATTGAATATCGAAATGTTTAGTTCGGGCGTGGAAGACTGGATCCTCCGATAGAAATAAGGCACCTTGATTATCGCAGTACAACACTATGTTCCCGAAATCGCGCAACCCTATCTCTTTCATAAGACTATTCAGGTAAACTGCCTCTTTTATCGCCAAATTTAAACTAATATATTCGGCTTCGCACGTTGAAGTTGCTACGCATTTCTGTTTCTGGGATTTCCATGAAATCGCAGCCCCTCCTAACAAAAAAAGCATACCCGGAGTATGACTTCCTATCTATAGGACAATTTGCCCAGTCAGCATCCGAATAACCAATTAAGCTCTTACCTGTTTTTCGATAAATCAGTCCATAATCGGCTGTCCTCTTAAGATAACGAAGTAATCTTTTCACCGCATTCCACTGTATCTGTCCAGGATTATCACAAAACGCTGCTAATCTTGTCACGGCGTGTGTGATATCCGGACGAGTTCCTGCTGAAAGATAAATCAAGCTTCCGATTAATTCTCTATATGGACATTTCTTCTCCAGCGGAATTTGTGAACCATCGGGTCTAAAATTCACCTCCATCGGCGTGGTCACTGTTTCTTTACAATTCTCCATGCCGAATTTTATCATCAAATCATTAATATATTTTTGTTGTGACAGTTTCGTGGCATACTCATTTTTGACAATGTCAATGCCTAAAATATATTTCGCCAGTCCATAGTCTTTTAAATCAAACTCTTTGGAAAGTTCATCTTTGAAAGATTGTATGAGACCTTTATTGCGTGAAACTATCAGTAAATCATCAACATAAACCGCTAAGTATATAGACGTATCAATGGAGTTACCGTCCAAATAGTAGAGACACGGTTCCTTCAAAGACTGTTTAAAATGCATTGACTTCAATTTATTGTCAAGTCTTTTGTTCCATTGACGTCCAGCTTGTTTCAAGCCATACAGTGATTTCTTCAATCGACATACATCTCCACCTGTCTTCAGATCATTTAACATCTTACGAGCCTGCTCTTTTAAGCTTTCGTCTCTTTCTTCTTTAATAATTCTACCTAAGCACTCTGTCAACAATTCTGGAACCTCCATATAAATTTCCTCGTCAAGATATCCATTCAGATATGCAGTATTGATATCCAACTGGTGTATCTCCATGTCTAATTCAACCGCGAGCGCTGTAAGCAGTCTTATCGTGTCTAGTCGGACGACAGGTGAAAAAGTGTTTCGGTAATCGATGCCATATCGTTGACTGTAGCCCTTGGCTACCAACCGTGCTTTCTTCTTCTCGGTTTTGTCAACGTTAAGCTTCGTTGTCAATACATATCGGCATCCTACCGCTTTTCGATTTCTCGGCTTTTGAACAATTTCCCATGTTTCATTTTTTACAAGACTTTTGACCTCAGACAATATTGCTTCCTCCCATAGAGCACGTTCAGCGCTACTTAGGGCATCCCCTAAGGAAGTTTCCACAGTCAACGCAACATCCTCAGGTAAAGTTTCTTCTGCACGGCTATTATTATCATTGGGTATCATTTTATAGACCTTCTTAGGTCGGCCAACTTGGCCTTTCTGAAGTTTTGGTCTTCCGGGACCTCTCTTATACGTTACCTCTGTATCAGCTTGCGCTATTTCACTATCTTCCTCATGACATAGAGAAGGTGAACCAAGGGGTGAATCAGTCGTCTCCACGATCATTTCTCGAGTTCCTGAATAAGATGTACTTGGTATTACGTCCACCTCTACATATTTCGGCTTCGGTGTATCAACATCAGCAGAAAATTGATCTAGCTGAAAAGGATCATGAGTAATTGCCGATTTCCTGTCATCATTAGTATCGAGCCTCGTCTTGCAGAATTTCACATCCCTAGCTATAATGGTTTTATGGTCTACTGGTATCCATACCTTATATCCCTTTTGGTTCATTGGATATCCAATAAATATTCCATTGACACTTCTGGCAGCAAATTTGTCCTTGGTTGGATTCTTGTCTAGAAGATAAACTTCAGCTCCAAACTTCTGAAGATACTCAATCTTCACTGGAGAGCCAAACCACTTCTCGTACGGAATTGTACCACCCAAACTACTCGTGGGACAACGATTCCTAATATGACATGCCACCAATACAGCATCTCCCCAAAAACCTGCTGAGAGATTAGATGAAAGTAACATACACCTAGCCATTTCAACTAATGTCCTGTTCTTCGTTCTGCTACGCCATTCTGCTGTGGGGTTTGAGGTATAGTCAGTCTTCTTATTATCCCCTCTTGTTTCAGGAATTGATCAAACTTATTATTACAGTATTCTCCACCGTTATCAGTTTGTAAATACTTTATTCTCTTAGCGGTAAGGTTCTCAACATAGCTCTTGTATTCTTTGAAACATTCCAGAACACCACTCTTACTCTTCAGTAAGTAAACTTCGCACCATCTAGTACAATCGTCAATAAACGTGACAAAATATTTTGCACCACCGACAGTTTCATTTCGAATTGGCCCAACTACATCGGAATGGATGATGGACAGTTTTTCGTCACATGGTCCACTCGACTTGGAAAATGGGAAAGAAGTCATCTTACCCTGCACACAATACTTACAGTCGTATAAAATATTTATATTTGACATATCAACTTTAATGCCCACATGACCTAATACTTTTATTAAATCCTTCACATTTAAGTGACCTAAACGTTCGTGCCAGGATAGTAAATCGTTCTTAGTTTCGGAAATCGCAGAAACAGAAGCATGGCCCTCCCGCATATAATAAAGGTTGTTTTTTCGATCTGCTATGAACTTAATATTCCCTTCAGAATCGGTTACATAAGCTGAATCTTTCTTAAAAGTTACATTAAAACCTTTGCTTGTAATTTTAGATACGGAAATTAAGTTGCATCGCAAATCGGGAACATATAAAGTGTCTGATAGTTTTATCGGAACCTCCCCATTCAAACTCACAGTTCCTTTACCTTTTGCAAATGTACTCACATTGGTGGCCAAACTTAACTTACTACTGCAATTTGTCAAGGTGTCAAATTTTCCTTTCGATCTACAAAGGTGCGATGTACACCCACTATCTATGAGCCAGTTTCCTCCACATCCCGAACCAATCACTCCGTTACACTCTGAAACAGATAGAACACATGAGTTAAAATTCTCACTAGCACCTAACTCACTAACACATTTTGAGTCCTGCCTTGTTCCTTTACACGGGCAGTCCGAAGCTTTATGCCCTTGTTTATGACATCTGTAACATTTAAATTTAAACGCTTGATGCGGTTTATAATTCTGCGGATTTTTAGGTGTAGAACTCCTAGCTCCTAGCGTGGTTTTTCTCCTAGCGAACATTGCTGACGACCCCCTCTCTGTCTCCTTCCTTTGCTGTCGCCTAGAGGCATCTTCTTCAAGAATTTTAACTTTTAAAGAATTCGGGTCTGGCAATGAATCTCTAGTCTCCATCGCACATCTAAAGTTCTCATAACTTGGGGGCAGACTATAGAGTAAAATAATAGATGCAAGATCATTATTTATATTTATGTCCATGTCTAGTAACTTTTCTTTGGCTTCAAAGAAGCTTAACAGATATTCACGCATGTCGTCCTCCTCACACATCTTGTGTAATATGAGCTGCTTTAACAGTGTCGCTTTCTTAGCGGGACCCGAAGACGCGAAGATGCTTTCTAATTTGAACCAACATTCTCGCGACGTACTCGTCCCCTTAATGTGTCGTAGCTCACCTGGACTAATTGAGAGAATAATCTCCGCTCTCGCCTTTGCATCCGCCGCTTCCCAAAGCAACGCCTCTGCTGGCTCAGCTGGCTTCTTAATGCTACCATCCACATAGCCCCACACATCGCTCTTAATCAATAGAGCATGGGCCTGGATTCGCCATGAGTCGTAATTATCACGGCTTAATAATTCTATCCGCACACTCGCCATCGTTACTAGGTTAAGCACTCTAGTTCCCCCTTTTTTTTTATTAATTTACTGGACTATGACTGGGCCCATAACCTTTGTTGGGTTATAAGTGTGCAGCGGTAGTCGCGTGCAGCAGTCCAGTTTTTATTAATTAATTTACAATATAAAAACATAACAAGACCATAGCAACGCCAACTTTAAATAACGAACTATGACGATATAATATGTATGCAAATTACCAAAGAGTTTCCTCTAATAGAAGACACAAAGCCTGCCTGACACAAATACAGACTTTACAGACAGTATTTTAGCTGTGTCTGACTGGGTTATTTCACATACCAACTGTATAGAACCCCAGCCTTCAGAAATAACTAACCATCCACCACCATCAACGTCCACACTATTAACACCATCTGTCAGCTCACACCAATGGCAACAGTCAACAACCAATATAGGATCCCAAAGACCACCTTGCGCTGAAAACAGCCATCGTCGTCGAGCTACACGATATAGGCAGATATCTGCTCAAGCGGCTCGTCAAGCTCTAATTGAAGAAGCTCGAAAACAAACTAAGCTAAAAGAAGAAAAATTAGAGCTGTGGAGAGGGCTTGTTAAAGATATTAATTAAATTAAAGACATACTCAAAGCAGGTTATTTTAATGGTTATTTTAAATTGAAAATGTAAATACACAAAAAACCATTGCTTAATCAGAAATATATTAAATGAGTTATTTCTGTAATTAGGTTTTTACAAACACTTTTACACGTCGAGCATATTTTTAATAAATATTGTGTTAATTTATTGGAGCAGCTCAATCCCAAGCCTTTTTGTCCTCAATATAGTCTTTGACAGTATAAAAGGCTTTCTGACAAAGTTTCCGCTTTATACAGTTTTTGAATTTATTAAGGCTTAGTACTTGAATGTGCCTAGGTATTTTATTATAAAAACGTATACATTGGCATCTAAACGAACCACTTATTTTCTTAAGCCTGGTTGTAGGAACAACAAATTCGTGTTTCTTTCTAGTGAACGTGAATACGTTATGGACGTCACTGTATTTTTTATGAGCATACAAAAGATTTTCATAAATATACTGAGAAGGCACAGTCATTATATTAATTTCTTTAAATTTATCTCTGAGGGAGTGTCTGGGACTTAATTTGTAAATTGAACGAATAGCCCTTTTTTGTAAAACAAAAATTGTCTGAATATCGGCGGCATTTCCCCACAACAGAATACCGTACGACATATATATTTATTTATTTTCTCACAATAATGAACACAAAATAATATAACCAGTTTAAAAGTCCTTATATTACTTTAAAAAGCTTAATTAAAATAAAATATATTTATTGCTCCTTGCTTATTATTAAATGAAAATTTTAAAATAATTTCTTTCGTTTGAATGTGATTGCCACAATCGCTGACCAAGGTTATTCCTTGTTAGCATACCTTGGTGAAGAGGCTCTTTATTTAAGTATACATTATTGTAGAAGACAGTAACCGAGGACTCATCGATTTGGCCCATTTGGTCTTCATCAAGCACAGGAATTTGCGCTTCATTACACATGTTATGTAAGATTACGCAAGCATTAACAATTGATGCTGCTTTCTCTGGTGTATAATGTAACAAGCGGTGAACAAATAGACACCCAAAACGTGCTTTAAGAAGTCCAATTGTCCTTTCGATTAGGTTTCTTGTGCGAGCATGGACATCAGTGTAATGACTCTCGGGTGTGCCAGTAACTGTATTCAAATTGGTGAAATCTACGATTACAGAAATTGTCCATGAAGTGTGTAAATCATTGTGGAAAAAGTTGGTTAGTAAAGTTATGGCCGAACCAACTGAAGATATCTGGAAAAAATAGCTCAAAAGTTTGAGAGATATGCGAATTTTCCAAATTGCATTGGTGCTATAGACGGAAAGCACATCCGACTTATAAAGCCTGTCGATTCGGGATCATTGTATCATAACTACAAACATTTATTTTCTATAGTGCTCTTAGCAGTTTGCGACGCCAACGATTACTTTACTTATGTTGACATTGAGGCTTATGGCAAAAGCAGTGATTCCACTATATTTAAAAATTCTTTATTTTATAAACACCAACATTCAACACCATGGCCTTATGTTATAGTTGGAGATGAAGCCTTCGGTTTATCCGAAAATTTAATGCGACTATATGCAGGAATATGTTTATCACATGAAAAAAGGATTTTTAACTATAGGTTATAGAGAGCCCGACGTAACATTGAGTGCACTTTGGCCTATAAATGAAAACATAGACTTTGCCGACGATATAATAAAAGCCTGTTGCGTTCTACACAACTATGTAAGGACTAGAGATGGTATCAAATATTGAATTATAACAAATTCCATCCAATCGAATATAAAATTACATAAAAAAACAATTACACACCACTTGAGGAAAAAAATAAACTTCAACTTATAACACCGCGGACTAATTACGGAAAAACAATGATATTATTTGATGGAGCACATTTGTTCAACAATTTACCAGAGGAATTAAAACAGTGCGATAATATGAATGTCTTCAAAAGAAATCTAAAAGATTATTTGTAATCAGTGTAATGTTTCCAACGCTCTAGAGGCTCCTAATATTATATAATTTAGAATTAAGTACTATATCTCATTGTAAGCGAACTAGTATTAAGTTCTTATGAGAAATAAAGTTCTTTAAACCTAAATATAAAGATACGTTATAGACTGCACCAATTACTAGTCTCAATACTTTGCATGCAGGAAGAGGGGCACCGTCATTTTTAAATATCAGAGATAAATTATCTCATTACTCTGGGAACACTTCCTTCGTTCACAAAGTAATTTTCATAATGGCAAGATTCAAAAATATAATTATATCATTTATTTTTGGTGATAAATACCTTCTTCCCTACAATAACCTTTTTTTCCAACGTGTCTTCACCATTTCCAAATATCTCCACCAACTCTTGCCATGCTCGGTTTTTTTGCAATTTTATCCGAATTATCAGAACACTGAAGATATTGTAGGTCTCTTTTCCAATTCATCAATAAATAGCTCAGTGTCGAAGCGATCAATAGCGAGCCGTGAGCTCATGGTGCATGTGGGCTCATCTTGTGACATGTTAATCGCGCGGTGCCCGCAACGCTAATAAACGCTGAGTAAGATCTTCATAATAATAGGACCGCGCGTGTGCCGCACGATTCTATTTTCAAGCGGTTGAGTGGCATTAACCGCGCAGTTGGACTAACCGCGCGATTATTTGTGGACGATTATACAAACACCTATGTAAATAAGATCCGCGCGGTTCCTGTGTGATTTTCAAACCGCGTAGTTCCCGCCGTGTCAGAACTAGGCCCTAGGCAAATGATGCGGACTGATTCCGAGCACAGACATGAGACAGGGACGATATATATATAACATGACAGATTACGCTGACAAATGACAATCTGTATAATCATAGACTACGTAGGTAGGTTAAGTGTTTTCGTTTAGTTTAACAATGACTTAGCCATAAATGTGGACCAACCATTGTCGTTTTAATGGTTTTATATATCAATGTTGCCCTTACTGGTGGCGCCTGGCGTAAATCACCAAATAAAATTACATCAATGCCGCCAAAACAACATTATGATTTGCAGTAAGTAATTTGTTTTAAGCGCAAATAAATTTTGGCTAACAGTTCTGCACTGATCAAGCTGATTTCATCGATACTTTGACGCATCTAAAAAGAGATCTATATAAATGTAGGTTTCAGATGATAATGGCAATAGTTTAAAAAGATAAATTTTAAGAGCAGTATGAACCGTAGTACCATCAATGGCCATAGCAGCTTTACTTATTCGATCAAATATTCAATGAAAAGAATTTAAGAATATTTTCACCTAAGAAAGACCAATGCGATTTGAGTTGTTCTTATAATGTAGGCAACATCAGCGAAGCCAAATATCGTGAACATATATTAAAGAAGGATAGAGCTAGACAGGAAAAAACTCAAGATAAATTAAGAGCTACCAATAAAGAAGTGCAAGTCTTTACACGTGACTTAAATTCGTACAGCTGTGTCCTAAACTTGAAGCCAGTGCAATATATTATAAGACAAAACTATGTATTCACAACTTCACCATCTACAATCTTGAAAACAAAGACGTGCACTGTTATTGGTTTGATGAGTGTTCGGCAGGGCTGGTGGCTTCGGTGTATACTTCCTGCATAATAGACTGTTTGAAAAAAACGCTGTCTAAGAAGCTGCTGCCTATAATTCTATATTCCGATGGTTGCACAGCACAAAATCGCAATGCCGTTTTATCCAATGCATTGCTGGAGTTAGCAATGGACTATTACATCCAGATTGAACAGAAAATTCTAGAAAAAGGTCATACCCAGATGGAGGTAGATTCTTGTCACAGTGCAATAGAGTGTCAAATTAAACACAGAGACATCTACTTGCCTTCGAAGGAACGCGTCAATATCGAAGGAAGCTCGTTTTGAGCAGCCTTACAATGTATATTTTCTAAATTATACTTTTTCTACGACTTCAAAATCCCTCATTGTATAATTCGATTCGACCAGGTAGAGTAGCAAATGACCCAGTAGTTACTGATATTAGAGCATTACTTTATGGCTTATGTTTAACTTACCACCAGGTATAGTAACATATAACAGACAAAAATAGTAAATGATTACCAAAATTAAACCCGCATTTTAATGTAAAATTACAACCTAAGTTTTAACATCTCGCTATCCTATTTAAGCAAAATGACTCCAAATAAATCATTGTTAACCCAAAAGTAGTAAATGATCGCCAAAATTAAAACAGCATTTTAATGTAAAATTATAACCAAAGTTTTTACATCTTGCTATCCTATTTAAGCAAACTGGCTCCAAAAAACTCATTGTTAGCCCAAAAATAGTTAATGAAAACCAAATTATTAACCATATTTTAATTTAAAATGAAATGCAAAAAAATAAAATCTCGTTATCCGATTAAAGTAAATTACCCTCGGCAAAAAAAATATTTTGCCAAACACAGTAAAGTAAATTTACTCCTAACCTTTTTGTCTCCAAATTGATTAACCACTACAAAAAAAAAAATTATCTTGAGCGTTTCGTTTACAACCAAATGCTATACCTAAAATAAAAAATAAAACTCTTACAATTTCAATAATCCCTTTTTTAATTATTGAAACAATCATTAAAAAGATAGTCCTCTTAAAACTAATAATAAACAGTTCAAAGATCTTAAAACTAAACTAATAATAAGCATTTAAAAAATCTTAAGAAGAATCAGTCTTCTGTATTAATTCACTGCACAATTAATGCTTTCTTAGCTTTGGCTGGTCGTCCTCTTTTGCGCTTCATGCCAATCGGAATAGCTCTGGCCTCTGAAGGTGGCTGGACGTGCTTAAGCCGAATCGCCAATCCAACGAGATGCTTGCAAATGTAATCTTTGAGAAACTTTGGGCAATTGCATGTGCCGTGTAACCAATTTTCCTTTTCTCGGGGCATTATAACTTCCCACTCTCTAAAATGTTGCTCTTTGTATTCGTCAAAGGTCTCCCATGGCTTTTCATAATTTTTGCAATCTAAATCCGACCCAGCTGGAATTCTGTATGAGCAAACTAGCTCAGTACTATTCTTTAATGGCACCTGCTTCGACAGTTTTGCCCATTGGTAACTTTCTGTCCACATCTTTAAAGATACTGTCGGCAGTTGAGCGAACCGTCTCTCAGTATTATTAATCACGTATTCATTAGACCAGTCCTTGACTATATCAGAAGCAATTACTAAGAACCGCGCCAAAGGATGACGCTCACGAAGCGTGCCACCATCTTTTATTGTTTTATTGAAAGATTCCAGAGCATTGTTTGTAGCAGGAGTCCCCAGAGATGCGCCCAAATACCAGAAACGATTTAGTATTAGCCATTCATTTTCAAAGTATGTAACAAAATCTTTTTCGGCTTTCCACTTGTCCAAAAATTTTTCGCTGGCTCGATCAAATATTTCCTGAGTTGAGGCACACTGTAAAGCATCAATATCTTGTAAGATCTCTTTTTGGGATTTCTTTTGCACACTTTGCTCTACTCTTGTTTGCATCTTCTTTTTCGCATGCGCCCAGCACATTCTTATGACTGTATCTGTTCCAAATGTGCACGCAAAGGCAGTTTGTATAGCCTTCGCTGCATCACAGACCAAAACTTTACAACTTAAAGTATATGAAAATATTGAGAAAACTGCTTTTTTTAATGCGGAAAATAAAAATATGAAGTCTTCCGTTCGTTCAGCTGTTGTCACAGCTAATCCAAATGGGTGAAAATGTTTATCTCTGTCTGTAGTTCCAATCACAAGTACTGGAAACCCTTGCCAAATGAGCTTATATGTGGCATCCGCGTGAAGAACAGAACATTGGCGTGATAGACCAATTAAATATTTCGTCGTTAACATGAACCGGAAGTTCTGATCTAAATCATCTTCAGAAATTTCATACGCCAAAACAAAAACTTCGTGACCGTCATCAGGTATTTCAGAGTTTTCTTTTAACCATAATTCAAGCTGTCCCAAGCTTATTACCGATGGCCCGTATTTTTTTCTTACGTATGATTTTAAGATAATTGTTTAACTGTAACTTAGTCGGCAGAACTAGTCCATTAATTTTACTTAAGTTCTTCATAATAGATTTAGGTTTCAAACGCAGTTCGAATAGTTTTTCTATTTCCTTTTTCGTTGCCTCATTTATTCCCCTAGTCGACTGACAGTCAGAATTTTCATGGTCGTGACATGTTTCAGTACGAAATAATAATATATCATCACACGATGCGTCAAATAAAAGATAAATCGCGGCAGAACACTGAATTTCAGCCCGAAGCTTCACTTTGTTACAACGATAGTAACGTTTTACTCCTTCTTCAGTCGTATGAATTTTTTGTATTGACCAGGTCTTCTCATTTTTGATAAATTCCTCAGCGCTCCGCACAGTTATAAATTTTCTTTCAAAAACCCAAACTTTATTTTGCCTTCGACGTTTTTTCGTATGCTCTGTGATTTTATATTCGTCTTCATCTGATTCCGATGAAGTACTCAACAGCGGAGCACACGAACTCGGTCCCGCTAAGTTTTCATTCGCCATTGCAAAGAAGATAGATACCAAAACACACCCAATAAAAGCAAGTGCTCGCACGCGACTAAATTGGCGATCGTGTCCGGGCGTGCGCGGCGCTTGCGGTGTGGTGGGAGAGGATCGTAAGCCGCAGACATAACTTAATATGGCATCATAATGCTTCATTTGGTAATAAGCCTACATTTTATGTCAATCATAGTGGTTTATTTAGGCAGAAATAGCGCATTAATTTGCTCGCTAAGATTTGGTGATCATTTACTACATTTGGTGTTCGAATACAATTTGAAGTGCAGTCGTGACTAAAATAGCTAGTACTATTGTAATTTTAGACGTTATTTATCTGGTGTTAAGTATATATTTTTGGTAAAAGAACTAAGGGTATCAAAGCATTTTATGGTGATCATTATATTTAACCCCTTACTTTATGAACCTGAAGGGCTTATAAAATATAAACTAAGCTGTGATGACGACTACGTATTATTTTACCCAAACCAAGAAGCACTCTGCCAAAACCAAAGTTGTACCAAAGCAGAATACCAATTTCTCAGATAAACTAGACCCATTTACAAGAATTAAAACGTGTCATACCTAGTGATTGCCATAGCTTTTACGACGTTTTGCCATATAAGTAAGACCTCAAATTTGCTAGGAATTTTATCTTGTTATTGTGTAGCGTTATTAAGTTTATTTCATGAGAAGTTTAAGAGTCTGTTTTTTTGCAAATATTTAAAATGTCTTTGAGACTGTTTATTTTTTAAAGAAATTTTCGAATTTATATGAGAACAATTAGCAGCAACAATCTCGTCACTGTAAGATTATTATGCAGTAAATCAAAGGTAGCTCCTCTAAAGCCTACTACTATCCCAAGGCTAGAATTATGTGCGGCGCAACTTGCCGGAAAACTTACAAAATCGGTGTTAGAGTCAATTAGGTTTACACCTACGCGGATAGTACATTGCATTGGTGCGATTCCAGTGTTGTATTATGCTGGATAAAAGGGGATATAGGTAGATTGAAAACCTTTGTAGCCAACCGCATTAGTGAAATAAAAGAAATAACTTCATCTTCAGCATGGCGATACGTGCCATCAGAATTTAATCCTGCTGATCTTATATCTAGGGGAATTCAAGCTAAGAATATTTTGAATATGGCCCTAGTTTTTTACATGAAGACGAGGCTAAATGGCCTGTTTTAAAATCTTTTGATTTAAATAGTTTACCTGAAATTAGGGTTAATTCGGCTGTAATAAATGAATCACCTCACTGACTCGATTACAAAGAACAGTTTCATATGTGCTTCGATTCATATTTAATATAAAAAATAAAACTAATAAACACCTAGGTGTACTATCAACTAGCGAATTGAGTAACGCCATGAACAAGTTATATGAGTGTGCCCAAAAACAATCATTTCCAATTGAATATGATTTATTTTTATTAATCAAGGGTAAACAGTTGAATAGCAAAAGCAAAATTTTATCTTTATCTCGATTTCTTGATGAAAATATAATACGAGTTGGCGGGCGTTTAGATGCATCAAATTATTACTCTTATGAAAGAAAGCATCCAATCATATTACATAGTACCAACCGCCTTACTCAATTGTATTTTGAGCGAGAGCATTTAAAGCATATGCATGCTGGTCCTTTATTGCTACTTGCAGCTGTGAGAGAGGTTGTCTGGCCAGTTAACGGGCGTCGTCTTGCTCAACGGGTAGTTAATAGATGCGTTATTTGCAGGCGTATGGGTGGGCAAACTCTTCAACCTAAAATGGGAAATCTTCCAGCGGATTGCCCCAGATTACCCTTTTTAGCAGTAGGAGTTGACTACGCAGGTCCATTTCTTATCTTGAATCGCAAAGGACGAGGAAGCCGCTTAATTAAATGTTATTTGTGTATATTTGTTTGCTTGCGTTTCAAATGTATACATTTAGAAGCTGTTAGTGACTTAATTAAAGAAGCATATATAATGGCACTTCGTCGAGGAAGACCAACGGAAATATTTTCTGATAACGGTACCAATTTTGTAGCTGCAGCGCGAGAATTAGGTTCATTTATCAAACAAAATAAAGATCCTCTGTTTGACTTTGCAAGTCAACAATCAATTAAGTTTAATTTAATTCCGGCATATACTCCTCATTTCGGTGGTATTTGGGAAAGTGGGGTAAAATCTGCTAAGCACCATATACGGCGTGTTATGGGAAACTGTCATCTTACTTTTGAGGAAATATCAACTTTATTTGCACAAGTAGAAGCAATCCTAAACAGCCGTCCCTTGTGTCCCTTGTCATCTTCTCCCGATGACCTTCTTACCCTTTCCCCTGGACACTTTCTTATTGGACGACCATTAACTTCACTGCCTTCTAAAGGTCTTGGTGAATTCAAATTTAGAGAATTGAGCAATTAAGACAGCACTTTTGGAGACGATGACAAAAGGAGTACGTGGTGGAATTGCAACAGCGCACTAAATGGAGAGAGAACTCTGCCAATCTTAATATTGGGGACCTAGTGCTGATAGCCGAGGACAATACTGCCCCTCTCTGCTGGAAGTTGGGTCGAGTGTAGCGGCTGATAAATGGCTAAGATGGAGTGGCCAGAGTGGCAGAGATTAAAACCAGCAGCGGCTGCATTACACGTTCGTTGGTCCGGCTGTGCAAGTTACCGGTACAAGAAGATTAGATGAAGAATGTTGAAAGAGTTTCAACGGCCGGGAGTATGTTGCGACATTGCGCAATGTTTACATCAGGCGCATTTTTTGCATTATAATAATTGTAAGGTGGGTCGACGTGCGCCATCACTTTTCTTTGTACTTGACTAGCGAAAGGTCATATACTCGTAAGAAATTAAACAAGTTTATACAAGAAGTTCAAAGAGTTTCATTTACTGGCTCAGTCATTCCCTAAAGAATGAACAACAACAGTTTTTTTATTAATAGTTAAGGATTCTTCATTAAATAGAACTATATACAGTGTAAACTATATATAACGACACTCAAGGGACTATGCTTCTTTTGACGTTACAAAGAGTTGTCGTTAAATAGAAAGAAGACAACTCTGTATTAGGAAAAGAAAAAGTTTATTTCAGACTTGTGTTAGTAATTACATCAAAAACAATTTTTATTTGAACGATATTGCGTATAGTCTGTTATTTTCGTCTTCTTTGGCTGCAACAGTAATTATGTTGTATTTTTTACTTGTTTTATTCATATCGATATTGAGGTATCTTTGTGATAAAGCACGTGCAAGCAATCCCAATTTGTAAACAAAAGAACGGATTTATTAAAATGTTCGATACGTATGATACCGACAGTCGAGTTTTATGGGCTAGGACATTGATATACAAAAAACCCATGATGCACACTCAACGTCTAAAAAACGTCCGCAAAAAATGAGCGCAATATTCTAAATTGTGCGCTCATTTCAAATAGTCTCGCGTCGCTCGCGTCTGGGAGCAGTTGTTAAAAATGCCAAAGTGTTCTGTGAGAAATTGTAAAAATATTACGTCAAGAAGGCTAAAAAAGGATGAGATATCGTATTTTCGGTAAGTAAAAAACTTTATTGATTAGTTTTTGTTGTTTTTACACGCTTTATATTAGCTTCACCTGTATGTATGTATGTATGTATGTATGTAACCGACTCCTTCGGACTCGATTTCGACTCACTTTTAACGGACAGATTTAATTTAAACTTTGCGTACCTGTCAAAGATCGATGACAATGCAGTCATCCGAAAAAAAAATGAAAAAAAAAAATAACGAAAAAATAAATAATAATAGTTAAAAAAAACTAAAAAACACGCTTTTAAAGCACATCAAACTAAAAAGTTATAATGCGACTAAAATAAAAAGAAGACTGTAATGCGTTGTTCTAACACTGAACAAGCAGCCATTGAAGTTGGCCGTATAGAAGTTTGTGCGTTGAATGAAGTTTTTAGAAAAAATAAATAAAAATCACACATTGCTTGTCATAAAAATATCATAAAACTAAATAATAGTTAAAAAAACTGAAAAATACGCATGTCAAATAACGTAGTACCTTCGTTAAATTCATTATTTTTTTGTAAATGTATTTATTTTTTACAGGATATGACTCCACAGGACCTCAAGATTGTAAGTAACTACGATAAAGAACGCACGGAACCTAAGTGCCACTATATTCTGACGGGGCCCGATAGGGCCAAACGCCTGCCAGGGTCGCGAGATTGTCTTAACAGGATACCGCGGCCCCGGAACGCAAAGGGCGACCGAAGGAACAGGGTGGATTTTAGTCAGTAAGAGTCTGACAGTTCCTCCCGCCAGGGCGGCAGGACTCATTTGATGATTTTACTACCCCATAAAAAAAGTGCCACTATATTTTGAAATATTATTTAGTATGTTAATAGATACTTATTAATTTTGATATTGCTTACAGATTGAAATACCGGATGATGGCGGTGATACTGAAGTGTGTCCTACGAGTTCAATGTTTAATTTAGAAATTGAAAAGAAATTCAAATCTCCTACCACTTCTCTAAGCACGGGGTCAGTTTTGGATACACCTCGAAAAGTTCGTATGAAAAGCGAACTTCACAAATGCCGCAAAAGGTTAACTAGCAAGGAAAAAGTCATTAACAACTTAAGGAAAAAGAATTCGAGACTTGTTAAAAAGACTATTTCACTAAAGAAATGTTTTAACGAAAAGATTTAAATTAGACTCAAATTTATGTCAAGACCTATCCACGTATGTAAAACCAACTGAATTGTTTAATTCAAAATGTTTAAATAGTCTAACAAAAAAAAGAGATGTTAAAAGTGTCCTCCCGAGTTTTCCAAACAGCGAAATCTTATTTACTATCACTATTCATTAAAGTTCAAAAAAAACGCACCATCAATAAGAAGGGAGAAAAAAGAAAAATATTTTCTGAAGAAAAAGTATATGAATACAATTGCCAAGCAAATACAGGAGATATCGGGTTACTTGTTTGTATTGAAAGTGTACAACGGTTATATACTAGTTATGTGGAAACAGGTTATTTAAAATACATATTAGCCTATAAGTTTAGCCAGGATCACGTGGAGCTCTTTTTCGGCAATATTAGGAGTTAAGGAGGATTCAATAATAATCCAAATTCCCGTCAATTTAAATCCGCATATAAAAAACTTTTAATGCATCTGGAACTCGGTTCCAAGTTTACAGGCAATTCCATTCCTTTAGAAAATGTTCCTATTCTAAATTGCGGCACAACATTATCAAATATTAACAATAGTATTATTGGATATCGTTTTGATATTGAAAATGAATATTTGCCGGGTGAGGATAGTGGCTGCTATGAGACATCAAAATAATTGTGATATTCTATCAGATTCTTTAAATAATTCGAACTCACAATATGTCTGCCAAATTGTTACGGCTACATTGCAGGATTTGTTCTTAGACATATATTGAAAAAGATGCGACACCTGCAATGATTCTGTACTGGCACGTAATAAATTATGGTTCCATAAATTGATAGACCTTAAGGATTTTGGTGGTCTTTGCTATGCGAGTAAAGACGTATGCACTGTTTGTAAAAAAACAGAGGAGATTATAAGACGGGAACAGCGCATAAATAGTTACAAAGGCTGCCACGGTTTGTCTTTTTTATATTTTCTATGGACACTTAATGTTGTTGTATTTTTATTATATTTTTTTAATTGTCTATGACAATTCAAAAGTGCCTGTAACTGGCCTACTTGATTTGATTTTTGCAAAATAAATACCATTCATCATTATCGTGTTGAACCAAATATTTGAATAAACAATTTTAACAGTTATTATTTGTTTTTTTTATACAGGGTGTCCCAAAAGTCGACGTCAAGTCGAAATTTTCTCATAGATAATGCCACACCAGTTATCAGAAAAAATATTTTTTTGTTATTCCAGAAAATGCACACCATGTGACAGTTTTTTCATTCCTGTTGTTACAAATATTAACTTTTTGCCAATTTTTTTTCTCTTACGTCATCCCGAATAGTGCTTTATGTAACCTATGATCCTAAACCCTGTGCCGATCACTCCAACTTGTAGGAAAATGTCATTTTATACCGTACCAAGTTTTCAAAATTAATTTTTTGCACTAGTTCAACTGATCGTCCTGAAAAAAAAATGTACTACTCCAGTTTGGCAAGCAGCTTTAAAAGTTCGCGCATTTAATAAGGATTCTAACGTGGTATAATACTTACTTCATTATTTCTTAGATCGGCCATAAAAAAAATTTTTGTTAAACAAAGTCTGTTTTTTAAAAATTTCTCTGGAATTACAAAAAACGATTGTACCCAAAGCGTTCCTAATAACCACAGCGTGGTTTAAATAAGATGTCGTAAAGTGTGAGCGAGACAGATAGTGACGCTACTTATTGCTTTTTGACTCATTGACACACGCACTACAGGTCAGTACGCAACGCTCCTTCGTTTACTACGCATCTTTTCGTATTCGCTGGTGTTATTTTGTGTTCTAACTACTTTGGCTTCGTTTACGGACTTGTTAGCTTGTGATTTGGATTTTACATTTGTGAGCTACGACGACCTTTACTTTTCCCTGGACTTACGTATTATTGTGTATTTGTACCATACCATGGCTACGTACACTACACAGGAATATGCTAACATGCACCTCATTTATGGGGAATGTTTATGTAATGCCAGTGAAGCCGCTAGACGGTATCGCGAGAGATACCCTAATGCAGATCGCTATACGGATCACAGAGTTTTTACCAATGTGCACCGTCTACTGTTCTCTGAGGGCCGACTTCCAAACCAAGTGCACGGTGAAGGTAGAATTTCACTACCCTACGAGGCAGTTGTTCTTAAAGCAGTTAATGAGGACCTAAGTTGTTCGGTACGTGGAATTGAGGCCAGCACAGGTGTGCCCAAAAGTACAGCTCACCGAATACTACAAAAAAATAAGCGGAAGCAGTAGAAATTGTGAATAATGGACGATTTGCCCGCTTCATTTCACGATCTTTTTTTAAGGAGATGTCGAGCCTGTATTGCAGCTGAAGGACGGCAATTTGAACATCTTTTATAAAAAAAGTAATAAATCTAATCATAAAAAAGAAACTGTCTATTTTACTTATTTGCGTCCGTATGTCATAAGCGTCACTATCTGTCTCGCTCACATTTTATGGAATGTCTCTCTCCATCTTATTTAAACCACGCTGTGGTCATTAGGAACGTTTTGGGTGCGCTAGAATCATTTGTTGTAATTTCAAAGAGATTGTTAAAAACAGACTTTGTTTAATGGCGCGTCTAAACGGGCTATGTTTTGCTGCAATTGATGGCTGCAACACTGTGGCCGGCAACATTGCAAACAATAGCAGCCACACTTTGCAATATTGCAGTAATGTCCCAGCCATATAGCCAAACATGTTTTGTATAGCCACATATGGCCGATGTTGCCCCGATGGGTGGCCGGACGATCGCTAGGCTATCGAATTCAACTGCAATATTGCACAGCCAGTTCTCTTGTTGTTTCAGTCACTCTCTTTGTTATGGCATAGTGTATCCTTTTCTACGCGACATGACGTTTGCTTTGAGTGAAGTGTGCCTGTTGCTTTATTCTGTGTTTTGCGATCAGCTGTATTTGACGTTAAATTAAATATTTATTAAAATTTAGGCTACTACGTAAAAATGACTGCTACGTGGTCTAACGAGAAAATTCCTGATTTCATTAATGAAGTACATTTATACCCTGAGTTGTGGGATATAAAAACCGGCATATACAAAGATAGGAATGCTAAAAAAGATGCATGGAATGAAATCGCTGAAAAGTTTGGCATAACAAGCAACGAGGCTTACAAAAAATTCAGAAGCCTAAGAACTTACGCAAATAATGAGGAGAAAAAGAAGAAAAGTGGTAGTGCTGGCGGTAAAACAGTAAAGTGGTTTGCTATGCTATGCGATGCGCTATCGTTTCTCTTAAAACAAAATTCCGCTAATTAAAAGGATTAGATAGTGAAAATGCAACTTCTAACGTAAGTATCTTTAATAAAGTATTTTAGAAATTAAAAATGTTCATATCTCTGTATTAAGTATGCATCATATATTTATTTATTTATTTATTTATTAAGGAACACCAACAGATTACATGTATATATTTTCTAATTAACAATATTGGGTTTTATTCTAGCATGCAATCTAATAATAGGTGTACACAACATTGACTCTAATAAATGATAGCGGAGAGAGTTTACTTAAGTATTTGTATCTTTAAACATAAATAAATTGAAACGTGGTAAATATTACATGACTTATGGCTAAGATGACTGAATTTTCTTCCTAAAACTAGGAAGTGAGTCATAATACACGTCAAGACTATGTCTACAACTACATTGGTTAAAATTCCTAAGCATTCTACTGAGGGGCGCATGTTTACCTAGATTGGTGAAGGACTGTGGAACGACAAAAGTATCAGTCTGTATTCTTCTTGCGTTGATTCTAGGCACTACGAAGTAAATCTTTTTTAAAATATCTGGACAAATAATCGTGCCGCGCATCAACTTGTACAAAAACACCAGGTCCACAATCATACGACGATCCTCGAGAGTTTGCAAATTGAACTACTGTAATCGATCAACATAATCCCTTCTGTAGCAAAATTTAGGGGTTTTGTACGCCAGAAACCGTGTGAATGTTCTTTGAGGACGTTCTAGTGCATACTTGTGTGTTTGGTATGTGGGATTCCACACCACACTAGCGTACTCAAGGTGGCTGCGCACCAATGCATTGTACAGAGTAATAAGAGTTTTAACATTCTTAAAGTCAGTGGTATTACGCCTAATGAAACCGAGCATCTGAAATGATTTCGCTATAATTATTTCGTGGTGAGGAGTAAAACTGAGAGCACTATCCAGCGTCACACCGATTATCGATTGATAACTTAAACTTCTTCCCTCTGAATGCTATGTTATGTTACTGAATGTTATGTTATCTTGAACTTGTTCCTTCTAAATATTTATCTTGCCATGCTACTCGCCCCTGCTCTGTCATAAAATAATGCATAAATTCGTCTCTTATTGCTTTTGCTCTTGTGGTTGCATTCCTTCCCAATATTCTTAAATCTGTTAAACTTTGTTCGTCATCTCTCCATGAGCCTGGCATTATTCTACCAACGTCAATATCTTCACTATCAAAGGTCCCAGGAGGTGAATACAGAGATCTTGCTCTTGTATTTCGTCGCAAAAATTATGTAAATGTGCACAAGCCACAACTATATCTTGCACATGTTTTAACTCAACATCAATAGTTGTGTGTAATATACGGAAAACTGAACACAAGATACCAAAAGAGTTTTCTACAATACGGCGTGCTCGAGATATTCTATAGTTACATACACGTTTTGGAGATCCTATGTTCAGAATCTAACGTATAGGGCTTGCAAATATTCTCTGTTAAGGGAAATGCATCATCTGCCAGGAAAATATACGGTGTTAACATTTCTCGGCCGGGAAGGGTTTCAGGATGTGGTATGTTGAGAGTTTGACGCAGAAGTGCTTTCCCAAAAGCTGTATGTCTAAAAACTCCCCCATCAGATATACTTGAACTCCAGCATGTACATATAGAAAATTGTAACGAGCATCTGTTACAGCAAATAGCACTATGCTATAAAACTGCTTATAATTGTAATATTGACTGCCACTGTTCGGTGGACAGGTAATTGCGACGTGTTTGCCATCTAGTGCACCCAAACAGTGAGGGAAATTCCAACGATCCTTGAAATCTTTTGCAACTTGTTTCCACTCTGTGACTCCTGACGGCTTCTGAAAAAGTTTAAAGATATACTAACAATTTCATGTATTCACAGGCGACTGAAACTACACACACTGACATCAATGCTGACCCACGTGAAGTCGTAGAATTAGAAACGACTGGCTCTTTGGAAGCCGTCGATACTACTCCAAAACCACGAACTAAAAGGTCCAAGACTACAGATCCACTATTAGAAAAGGCTCAAAATATTATACGCGATGCTGGCGAAAAAAAAAACGAATATGCTGCTTTCGGAGAGCATGTTGTCAACAAAATGAGTAAATATGACGACTACACGCGTTCGCAGGCTGAATTAAAAATCATGAAAATACTATTTGAATGTGACATGACAATGTACAGAACTCGAGCTTCATCTACACAGAGTCCTCATACAAATAGCAGATGTGGAGCTGGTACTTCACAAAGTCTATATTCAGACTTATCCACACCACCTCCTCAAAATCCTCAATCTGAAGATAACGCCGTTTCAGATAAAACACAGTCAAATTTAATTTATGAAGAACTTGTGTCGTTTACTATCCAAAATGATGCATGAAACTGAAAATTAGAATTTTTAAGGACTACCAAATTTCTTACTGTGATTAGCCACTAATTGTTATTACTAGAAACCTTTTATTATTAAATTTAAAAAGTACATAATAATTACTTTATTACTAATTACTCCTTATTAATAATATTTATAATAGCAAACTTAATAAACCTATGTCAACTTACCTTGATGTATTCTTTTAATCCTTCTATAATAGCTGCACACACCTCTGGAATAATAGTAGATAGAAATCGAAGCATCTGACACTCGGAACAGGTACATCAAACTTTTAAATGAATCTCCAGTTGCCAAAAACCGTAGAGTTATCGCCAATCTCGTGGTAACAGGTATTGCTGTTCTCATGTTTGTATCATTTCTTTTTATTTTTGGTCCAATTTTGTTTAAAAGAAAGTCAAAGTCGCCTTTTGACATTCTTGTAAATTTCTTGAATAATTTATTATCAAGGCTTATTTCAAGACTCAAATTGTCTACAGTTTCACGCCTATTTAAGTAAGGTCGAATCCACAATCTCTTCTTTTTCTGTTTCTTTTTTAAAACAATAAAATCTGCTGCGATCAGTGTGATTTCGTCAGCCATTGTTGCCGGTTTGTGTGGCCCATTTAGGAGTCTGCATCATGGGCCATACTATTGCAGATATATTGCAACACATTGCCCAGCCATAGATTGTTCGGCCATCAGCTGCATTAAAATATTTATGTAATGGCCGGGCAATTAGTGGCCAACAGTGCAGCCATCAATTGCAGCAAAACATGGCCCGTTTAGACGCGCCATAACAAAATAAAATTCTTATGGCCGATCTAAGAAATAATGGACTCAGTGTTATACCACTGTAGAATCCTTATTAAATGCGCTAACTTTTAAAGCCAAACTGGAGTAATACATTTTTTTTTTCAGGACGATCAGTTGAAGTAGTGCGAAAATTAATTTTGAAAACTTGGTACGGTATAAAATGACATTTTCCTAAAATTTGGAGTGATCAGCACAGAGTTTAGGACCATAGGTTACATAAAACACTATTCGGGATGACGTAAGAGAAAAAATTTGCCAAAAAGTAAATATTTGTAACAACAGGAATGAAAAAACTGTCACATGGTGTGCATTTTCTGGAATAACAAAAAAATATCCATAACTTCAAAAATACATGACTTATTTTTTTTTAATTTTTCTGATAACTGGTGTGGCATTATCTATGAGAAAATTTCGACTTGACGTCGACTTTTGGGACACCCTGTATACCCATAGGCTACCCAAAAACATATTTATGCACAAATAAAAGTATATTTATGTGTTTAAAAAAACACCATTTAACAAACTCTTAAAATACTAAATAGTAATGTATAATGAAAAAAAAAAGTCATTTTCGGCTCCACTCAATACCTTGTCCTACCGACCACGGTCGGTCGTAAAATTTTATTGCTTTAAGTACACTGCGTTGTAATAACAACTTTAAACAATTCGCGTAAGGTTGATTTTGCAATAATATATGCTTGTAACTTATAGAAGGAGACATAAATAGTGTTTCGGGACACTTTCGAGCGTTACTTTTATTCGAGACTGTGCATCTTGGGTTTTTTGTATATCAATGAGCTAGGACAATAAAGCGACAAAAGAACGTCACAGTTCCACAGTTATAACTAATTTCGGCAACTTAAAAAGTACTTTTTCTTATTTAATTGTCGTTATTGAGGTGTAATGCTATGTAGAGTGTAACATTGAATGGAAGACAAGCTTAACCAACCATAGCCGAGTGATGTCAACGCTTAAGGGGGTTTGTCGTTAAATCGAAGGTTGTTACATGGAATAACACTGTTTATTTAAGTATACTCAATCAGTAAATTTTTATTATTATAGTATCTATAAAAAATAAGGCAATTTTTTCTCTCTCCTGAAAAGTTGCTATTTTTGACATGTTATAATATGTGTGTTCTATTTGCAATAAAAAAGTTAAGAGTACCAACCCTATAGATTTATGCTTTGCTAGCACGAAACTAAGTGTAGTCGTCAAACATTTTGCGGTTGTGCACTATGATTGACAAGCTCTGTGTAATGTTTTTGTTCACATAAATAATAATGCAGTTTTATTCTTCTTTGAAATATTCTAAATCTTTGTGTCAAAATACCAAATGCATTTTCAACTAGTCGTCGGGCTAATGACAGTCTATGATTGAAATTCGTTTTATTAGCATCATCTGCTGCTTGGTGTCCTGGATACGGTCGCATTAGGTATGTTTTCAAAGGAAAAGCTTCATCACCAACTAAAAAAAATTTTACCCATAGGTAGGACGAAGCGTCTCATTTTCTAAACGTTTTCCAAGATTACATTGTGCGAAAATGCCACCATCGAAGTTTCGTCCGTAAGCGCCAACATCAACTGCAATAAATTTGTAACATTCGTTCACTAACGCCAATAAAACAATTGAGAATGTGTGTTTATAATTAAAATATATAGAACCACTATTGGCTGGGGCTTCAATAACAAAATGTTTTCCATCCAATGCGCCTATACAATTTGGAAATCCTCTAAGCTTTTCAAAATCTTCAGCAATTTTACGCTACATTTCTTCTGTTAGTTGTGGCAAACGTCTTTCTTAAGTGTTTTAACGATAGAGCGACATGTGCTATGCACGATTTCGGCCACAGTTGAATGGCCCAATCGAAAACTGAACGAAATAGTTTTTAACGAATCCCCAGTAGCCAGGAACCTGAGAAAAAAATAATAATGGTTTGATTTCGGGGTATCTATGTACCACAGTGAGCTATTGCGCATTAACCGTACCATTTACACAGGGTGTAAAGAAAATTATTTAACGTGTTCATTCTATACTATCTTTTTGCAGATGATGTATGTAAAAAAAGGTGGGCAAACATACGGGACCAGTTCAAAAAACACAGAAACAAACGTAAAACCAAGAGTAGACAGGGTGCTGTTGCTATACAAAAATATAAATACGAAGAGAGCCTGAATTTTTTACTGCCTCATATACAGGATCGAAATACAATAACAAGTATCGAGTCTGAGAACGAAGAGACGCAACACGAAACGGTTACTTCGCCAGTTACTACGCCCGACGAAACAATTAACACCGGTCAACAGCAGCGGCAGGAAGATCGCTCACCAAATTTTACGCCACCGAATCCAAATACAAATCTCCAATGAACTGCACAATTCACTGATTCCGGCAAGCGCAATCGCAATCAAACCATCCCAGCCACAATCCCAGTCCTCTGCGTCAAGCGCATAAATGGAGTACATTTTAAAAAATAAAGAAAAGTCCAACACACATGACATTCATCCTATTGATGCTTTTTTCAATGGTTTGGCACCCACTATTAAATCTTTTTCCTTATTATCAGCACCTTGCAAAAGGAAGAATATTTGCAGTAGTACAAGATTTAGAGTGGGAGCAATTGTCTACAGAGCCTTCTTCTTACACATCTCCAATGAGTGGAACAATGTCGGCATCGTCTACTAATTCACCGGTTCCGATGACTACACCAACGCCAACACCGGAATCAACGCCTGCGGAGCCTACACCTTCAGAACTTACGCCTTTGGAACCTAATAATTTGTCTACCTTGTTTTCAAATATTATGTGAATTATTTAGCAATTTTCTTTTCTACATTCACAATCCAATTTTGATTATAGAAAAATTGTAAATGAAGTATTTAGAAAAAAATTAGGTAAATTTTTTCTATGTACGATAAATACTATGTGATTTTTACATATCAATTTATTATTTACCTGAGGCAGACTGCTAATCGTTCGATGGGAGATATAGGCTTTTGAAATCTTGTAGTTTTTTTGGTTAGATCTATTATATTAGGTTTTAATTTTTCAAGTAAATAAGTAAAGCATTCTTTAGACATTCTAAAATAACCATAAAACTTGCTCTCGTCGTCTATTAATTCTTTGTAAAGTAAAGAAAATTCCCCCTCTGCTTCTCGCTTTCTCCAAGTTTGTACACCCCATCTTCTTTTAGTACTTTCGCTCGGTTTTTCTAATACTTCGTCATCGATGGCAATTGCAATAGCTGCCAATTCAAATTGTGAAAATTGCATAATTACTTAAGCGTCAAGTCTATCGACAGATAACAAAAACAGATATAGTCGTGCAAACACGTACGTGCGTACACCCAAACAGCCCGGTGTCCAGGCCGGCGCACGGTGGACGTGTCCCGGCCGAGGCCCGGCCCGGTCGCGACACGGTGTACCGTGAATCATCCTTAATAGTGCATCATTTGTTTTCCATCCACATTCAATTCTTTTATTTACTTCCTTGGAATAAGTATTGTGTATTACATGTAGTAATACACAATACTTATTTTAACTAAAACCGGCTGTCAACCTAACGCCTCAACGGCGACGGATTTCAAAAAACCTCATAACCCGGGGAGTATTCTGTTCTTTTAATGTTATAATAGATAATATTTACATACTACATAACATCACAAAATACTGCTCAGGCATCTGAGCCACGTCCATCACACATTGGCACGGTTTATGTCTCCTTTTACTTGACTTACTTTTTATTGTAGCTTAAAACTTAGTACTTTATAACAACCAAAGCAGTGTTTTAACATTTTGTTCTTGCACTGTTATTCACACATTCCAGGTCACTAACTTTAAGGAAATTGATGACCCGCAGAGCTACTATCAAGGAGATGGAAACTAAACTGAGAGCTACTTTGAAGGAGCTTGAAGTTTCTAAAGCTTTATGCGAACAGTTGCTCCAGGAGAGGGACGACAGTGAGGTGGAAATGAAAAATGTTGTTGACAAGAACACCTTTCTCAAAAATGAGTTAGCTAAGCTACACATTGAGCACATGGACTAAGCTGACCAACACAATCAACTGAAAATCCAAGTGTCAACACTTCAAGAGTGCAGTGACAGTCATGAACTAGCTTTGAACCGTATTTCAGAACTTGAACAAGAATTGTGTGATGCCCATAGGGCCCTTTCTTTCTCAGAATCTGTCAAGGTCAGCAAGCAGGTTTCTAAAACCAATAGCCTATTTCATGAGTTGGTAGTCAGTACGTCAAAACCAGTGTGTGAGGCGGCTGTAACAATAATTTGACTGGTGATGACATCTTACCATTGTGTCCTACAGTTATGTTGTTGTGTATTAGTGTTGTTTGATGATTTGCTATTTTAAAAGAGTACCGAGAGTTTTTTACGCCGGCTTTTTCTCTCGGCCTACACCCTCTGTCTTCTTTGCCGATGAGAACACGAATTAAAAAAATATATTAAAATTAAAATAACTATTAAACGGTCACAGAGAACAATAAAAAAACATAATCTCTTAAAATTAAATCTTTCCCTTAGAAAAGACCGGGTAGTTCTATCAAATAAATTAAATACTTGTGTTGTCCAGCTAGATGAATGTAGGGAAAAGTATGATATTGATACTCAGCTCCTCCAACACGATTTACTATACAAGGAGTACTTGCTGAAGAATATTTATGAGAAATATGAGATATCACAACAACAACTGAGTGAGCGCCTGCTTGAAGCTGGGGAGCTGCTGGACTTGGTGAAATGCAATGCTGAGATGTATGAGTCTCTGACCAACAATCTCTCAAGCACCAGTGCGAGCACCATCCGCCACCTCCTCAACTCAATCTTGACTTATCTCCTCAGGTGTTGGCTATTACAGCAAAGGCCGGTGTTGATACACAGAAAAGTAAAACCATTTTCTTTTGTGATGAAATAGGTTCATTCTTTGGAAAAATCCTACATAATTACTTTAGCCATAGTTTTACCAATCATAGTTACCATAACATAAGTTTTAAACAAATAATTAAAAAAATTAAAAATTCGAACCTGGTCTGCATTGGTATTACCAAAAAGGACATAGTGGATGGTGACAGCACCTTATTAAAATTAAACATAGGAAAGCTGATGTTCTCTCTGATATTTTGTCAGAGGTTGAAAATAATCATATTTTTAAATTGAATAATACTATTCACATGTTGACATGTTGTCATAGTGACAAAATTATTATATTTTGACACTAATAAGTTTGTTAGTGGTTCTAAGTTAACTCAGAGAACTTTGTCTCTGTCTTTTGAATGTAGACGGTTGATTACTATGTTGATAGCATACAATATTAACAAGGTTATAGCTAATATAACAAATTCTAGGATTAGTGACGAGACTGTGTTGCCTAGTTACACTAACAACATAGTGATTGATAATTATATATCTTCATGTTGTACGAAGGAGGGTCCACATATAATACCAACATACTTGGAGGCCAATACCAGTCAGATAGTGTATACTCTTCCTGCTGGAACACATACATTAGATTATTCTACAGCTGTAGAGGTCACTCCGGATAGTACTTTAAACTAGGCTGTAAGACAACAGAAGTTAACCGTTTAAATAATCAATTATTATTCGAGGATAATAAAAAGGTATCTTCTGGCAATTTAACATGTTTTAATAAACCAAAAGGAACCGCGTTGATTCAAAAATGTAACATCGCTCCTCGTAACATATGATGCACAATCTCGAGCTTGGATGACGGGCATTCGGTTCATTGTCTAATCAAAAGCTTTAGATGATCACTTCCAGATTAAATTTAGACGCATAATTCTATTCATTGACAACTGCCCCGCTCACCCTAAAGGTGTTGAACTCAAGAATATCAAGCTTGTTTACTTACCTCCAAATGCGACAAGCAAATTAAAACCGATGGATCAGGGAATTATAAAGGTCCTAAAGCAAGGTTACAGGACAAGACTGATTCAAGAAATGGACCGGAAAGACCCTAACATCAAACGACCCTTGACTGCATGATGCGATTCTAAACATTGCAGCGGCATGGAAAGCAATTAAGCCTGAAACCATTCAAAATTGTTTCAAGAAAGCAGGTTTCAGAAATAACGTGGTTGACGTCGTGTTGGAAGATGAAGAACCCGAGATACTGCAGGGTTTTCCTGGATATTCTTCCATTGATGACAATGTAGCACCGTACGAAATTCAATCAATTGAAGATCTTATTAAGAATGTGAATGACACACAAAACGAGGGCCTAAGTGAGAATGATGAAGACGAAGATGAGTCAACTCCGGTTTTTCAAACGCTCAGGCATTATCAGCTGTTAATGATTTAAGACGCTATGTAGCTTCTTTGGAACAAAGCGAAGACGCACTGCAAAAGTTGAATTATGTTGAAAATCTTTTAGTTGCTAATGCATCAAAATCTTTCTGTCAAACCAAAATAAGTGAATATTTAAAATAATGTAATTTATAAATGTATAATTTAATACCTACTCGTATATATACAAAAATTGGAACATAATACATAATAATATGTAGTACGTATTATTTTCCCTATCCCGCATAATACGCTATATCGTTTAAGACACGTTTTGGTAGGTTCCCTAAGAAGTCGTCTTAAGCTGGTTTTACTGTATTTTATACATTTTGGAACTGTATCATTAATGTCATTCATTCTTACGTTGAAAGTAGCAATATCAGCATCATATTCATCGTTATCATCTCCACTAAATTCATCATCGCAGGATATTTGGGAAGATATTTTTCTGTACGTTGATTTTCTGCTACATTATTGATTTATCCAACTGGAATTAATGGTGTAAAATGTACGTCTCGAATATGTAAATGTATGAAACGTTGCAAGTCATTGACTCTGAAATGAAGAAATTGTCTTTCTTCTGTTCTAGTGTTAACATAGTAATTATGTACACAAACATTCTGAATATACACTTAAGCAAATATTTCTATACATTCCATTTCTGCATACTCTGTTTCACTGCTGAGAATTTACCTTGCCCCATTTTGATTGATGCATGAGTTGACGAAGGGCGAAGCAAGTACTTGTTGCCTTATTTGTAAAGGCGACATTGCGAGATTCATAATTTTTATTATAGAAAAAAAGAAACAATTTCCATCTGAAGGAATGTCGACATCTTGGTTATAAATTCCTTGTTTCTTCTAAACTGTTGATATGGAACGTCAAATGAATTATTTTGCTGCGTTTCTTCTGTATTATTACGTATTTCTTCTGGATGTTTACATAATATTGCGCTGCAATTATCACGTGATCTAAAATTAACCAATCAAAAAATATTGATTAAAAAGACGTCATATTTTACTCCAAAAAATATACCTTAGAAAGAAAAAAAAATCATACGCATCTGAATGATAATTTAAAGTGTTACAAACGTTAGTACAGTGTACATTTTGGTCGTATTTTTTTCGTCTAGGTCCCTTTCGCAACCGAAGATAAGGAACTTTGTTCCAAAAGTAAAATTTCATTTAAAACAGGGGTTTTACTTTTTTTTATTTTTATATATATATATTATTTATTTATATTAAATTATTATTTTAATTGCTACTCTAATAATTTGAGCCTTGTCTAGCCCATTCGTGAGCTTCGGCAAATTGCTTTAGTCAACTACATCATCCAATAATCGAAAGTATGAATGAACATCCTGAATATTGCCATATTTCGACAATATCCTTGATATTGATATCCATTGTCGAAATCATAAGAAAATTAGGTGTGAATATGCTGAACGGTGCAGAGATGACAAGTCAAAAGGCTGCTTGGTATTTACTACGAAGAGCCAATGTCTAAGGTCAAGGCTACACGGGCGGTTCTCCCGCCGCGGAAAACCGCTTCTGAACCGCACTGGACACAATTTAATATGAAGTTGTTTGCTGCATACTACAGCATGCACGCGCGGTTTCCCGTCGCGGCTCACAGGCGGGAGAAATACGACCGCCGCATGCAGCGTCAAACCGCCGCTGATAACCGACGCTTAAAACTACCCGCTATCCCGCCGTCATTCTGCGCGGGACCTTGATATATTTATTTTGACTTGTTGTCCTTTTTACGCCCTACCGTCAGTACTGTAGATGAACGAGAGTCCAATGTATCTCCAATACTTTCGACTTTATCACAAAATCAGGAAGAAGATAATTTGATGAGACCACCTCGACAAAACCAAGTTCCTCCCAAAAAAAAGAAACAAACGGAAAGTACCCAAATTCCTCAAATAACAAAAATTTTGAACGAAAGTTTACAATTACAAAAGTTCAATAATGATAGTGACGCAAAAGGAAATCGAGCATTTCTTATGTCCTTTGTACCCATTATGGATTCTATGACTCCAGATTTGACTATGGAAACTAGATATGAAATTACGAATTTATTCAGAAATATACAAAGAAACGAAAGAAACCGCAGTATTCCTAGCAACTTGTCTGAATTTCTTTACCAGAGGAACCAGGATTCATCTGGGAGCTCTGCCTCTAGAGCATATCACGAGACATTATCTCCAACTAGCTTCGGACACATCAACGGAAAATGATGATTATTTTAATGTTCTGCCCTTACCCTAATAAAAAAGATTACATAATAAAATAATGTTATTTTATTTACCTGAGAGTTACAACCAAACGTTCTGCAGGTGTGATGGATCTTCGCATATTTGTATCCTGTTTCTTGATACGTTGGCTTATAATTGATAGAAATATATATCAAATGAGTTCACAGACATTCTGTAGTATGAGAAGAACTTATGAGGGTTATCGCGGTGTGCACTAAACATTGAATGAAATATTCCCAAAGTTAAACGATTACTTAACACTGGTTCCACCCACACATTGCGCTTTACTTTATTTTTTAATAATTCTATTAATATGAGAGCTGCAAGCGCAGTTATCATTGGCGGATCCATGTTGAAATGAACAAAAGGCAGCGATAAACCGCGTCCCGTGTAGTTTGATGGTCTGCGGCAGCTTTATCGAGCTATTTCCCGCGGCGGGAGAACCGCCCGTGTAGCCTTGCCTTAAATGCTCTATTGTAACTACTATTCCAAATATTATAGGGTGGCGCCGGCTGCGCCTGGTAGACACGCCCATGGCCGCGGCGCCTACCACGGCGCCCTCCGAACCCTTCGTGCCCCGCGCGGCCCTTGCGACGGCTCAATCAACGCCGCAAGACGCGGCGAATACACTTAATGTTACTAATAACATAAACAGGGGTAATACTAGATAGTAATTTATCGTTCATACCTCAATATAATGCAATAGTCAATAAAGCTTCTAGAACATTCTAGAGGTTTCATAAGGCGGTCGACTAAGTGTTTTAAAAATGTAAAGCCTAAAATCATACTTTTCAATTCTCTGGTCCGTTATATGGTAGTGTTGTTTGGAACCCTCAATATTCTGGACATGTTGACAGAATCGAACGAATTAACCGCCATTTCTCCAAACATCTATGCCGATTAAATAATAACATTAGCTATAAATGCGAGTATGAAAAAGGACTAGCTTTCTTTCACTTGCAATCACTCCGCGATAGACGCCGCCTTATCGACATTATATTTGTTTACAAAATTTTAAATAACTTGGTAGATTTACCTAATGTTTTAAGTCAAGTGAACTTCCTCTTAAAGAGGAACACAAGAAACACTTCAATCCTTTTTTACGTTCGGGCAGTGAGGACCAACGTCGGTTGTAATGCTCCTCTACACAGATCTCTATCGACATTAAACGACGCTCTGAGTACATGCCAAGCAGATCCATTCAATGACAGTCTCCACGTCTTCAGGCGTAAGATGCTGCAGCCACTGTTGATCCGTGACCAATAGTGATAATTGCAAAGTAGAAAATTATTGTTTTTTTTATATATATTTGTAAATTGCACGTTTGTATTTTTTTAATCTAGTTTGTATTTTACTTTGTAATGTAAGTTAATTTCTTTTCGTCATTGTAATGTTTCCCTTTAAATGTTGTGCACACTTGTTATTGATGCACTTGCATGTATCTTGTTTTCTATGTCATGTGTTCTCTGTAAGTGTTTGTATGAGTTTCGTTAGTGTGCCTTTTAAAATAAAAAACATAGATAATACAAATCCAAATAATATTAATAATAACGCGGCGGCTTCATACGCCGCGATAACCGCCTCGCCGGCAGTAACCCGCCGGCCCGCCTCGCACCCCTGCCCCCCGCTGCGCAGAAACCTAAGTATCCGCCCTTTATTCTCGAGTCCCTCCCTGACTGGGCCATACATGTTAGGGAGATGAAAAACAGGCTGGGACGAACGGTGAATGCGCACTTTCGGTCAGGGGCTAAAAATAATCCCGGAAGATGAAGAGGAGTACCGCGTGGTGCAGGTACCTAGGGGAGCTGGAGAGTAGCGGCGTAAAAGTCGTTTACTTCTCCTACTCCCTACCAGCTGAACGGCAGCTCAAGGTGGCAGTGCGTGGCATTCCGGCGGACACGGAGCCCGAGGCCATTATGTCAGAGCAGCGCGACGTGGCTCTTATCGTAGATCGCACGCTACCACGATGCACTTGGCCGAGGGGAATCATCGTAACCACGTACCCCGGCCCCGACGGAAGAACCAGGATCGTGGACGTCGCAACCAAAGGTGGAGTGTTACGAAGACCATCGTCGAGGATCGTGATCTTGGTGCCTGCGAAGTCGCCGTGCAGTAATGACGGTGCTACGCACGAGGGGGAGAATGTTCGCGACTCATAGTTATAAATAGTATTAAGTATGGGCTATAAATTAAATAAGACTATTGTTGGTAGCTCATAAGTATAAATAAGTTAGATAAAAATATGTATAATTTAAGGGAAAAATATAGTTAAATAAATTAATAAAATGCTTCGCCGAATAAAAGGGTCGCGTAGCTCTCGTCGCGCTATACTCGCGCACATGTCTGTAAGCACAGCTCTCGTCGCGGTATACTGTTGTAGTACTTATGCTCGACGAGATCTACGCAAAATCCTCAGCACAGCTGTCTGCCAACGAGTGCACACGAGCCTTTGTATTATTCGCATCATTAAATCTTTAGTAATTAAAACTATACCATATTCAACGCCGGCACTAAAGCGAGGAAAGCACAGCGCCTATCCCGGCCTCCCACCAGCGGGTCTCACCGGAGGATGCGCATGTGCGGACCAAGCTGAGGTGTCCAGGCTGTGCCTAGGCAGACTCCCAGCTCCCCGATGGAGCGAAAATCCCGCCGTGACGTGTCTGGCCCGCGCGTCAAGGAACACGGTGGAGCTGCGCCGCCGCCGCCGTCATCGGCAAGAAAATCATCGGCGTCTCGTATGGCAGACCGGTCCATGAGTGGCTCTCACTCGCGTAGCGCTCGAGCCCCGGGAACGGGAGCCGAAGAACCGGGTGGTAAAAGTGATTTTATTAAACAGTCCTCGTCGCGGTATACGGCTGACGTATACCCGTCGCAGCGGCGCCCCCACAACTCCTTTACTAACTGAAATAACTTTATTAAACTATCCCGCGTCGCGCAGTGACCCCGAGGCCACAGTGCCAAGTGTTAGTGTTAGTGACAGTGCGGAACAATTAAGTACAAGCGGAAGCGATTCAAGGTCACAGCTCTTGTCGCGACACACGGACGATGAGAGCGCCCTTATCGCCACCCCGCACCGACCTCACTCCTTGACAACGCACCAAGTAGTACGTGATGATTTTACTAAACATCGCGAGGACAGCCTTGCCCATGGGCGCGACCCTGAAGAGTTGCTCACCTATCTGGAAGGCGACCTGCGGCCATCGCAGCCCGTCTCACTTCGTGCCGACTATGAGATGACTCTCATAGGCCGGTTCGCCACAGACGGCCTCGCACGAGTTATGTGCGAATATCTCGCGCAGACCCGCAGGCGCCTTTTGGAGCAAGGCCTCTTAACATCGCCATTATCAAGCGACGAACACAACGCGCTCGTCGAAGCGAGACGCGCGCAAAAATTTTCCCTACGCCGCCCGCCACCGCCGGACTCTGACGAGGACGCCGCCGGGACGGCAGCCAAGCGTATCTGTGCGCAGACCACGCCGCCACCTACGCAATACATGACGCCACAATCACAAGCGCAGCCGGCACCGCTCTCACAAAGAGACCCGCGTCGCCGTCGCCTGGCGGATGCGCCCATGGTCACGGCGCCTACCACGGCACCCCCCGCACACGCCGCGCCCCGCGCGGCCCTCGCGGCCCTTGCGACGGCTCAAACAACGCCGCAAGACGCTGCTGTTTCGTACGCCGCGACGATCGCCTCGCCGGCAGTAGCCCGCCGGCCCCTCCTTGCACCCCTGCCCCCCGCCGCGTTGAATAAACCTAAATATCCGCCTTTTGTAATTGAGGAAATTGCGCCTTTTGTAAAAGAAGATAAACTTGAGGCAACGCGTAACTTACACAGAGATATCTCAAACTCAGTGATGCATGCCTTTGAAGACCATACACATTGTAAAGAGTATTTTTGTGACAAAATTTGCACAATACTGAGATCAGGCGCTGAACAAATAAAAAACACGCCAATGTGGTTCCCAATTAAAGTCATACTGGGATATTTAGCCTCCAATTCACAAACCCTTATTGAAGGCTATGTTAGACTACAAATACTGTTGAAAGTTACAGCAGTTTGGTGGCAAAACAAGTTGGTGGGAAGCGAATAAACTTTTCACAGCGGCGTTCGTATCAAAGCAGATGTGCAGCAGCTGTAGTGTCATACAACACTGGAAAGCCCATCACCACACTACATAAAAAAATTATGGGATTTAGTCCCAGGTCTCATCATATAAAGCGATTAGAAACTAATCGCGACAAATTAAGAAAAATAAGAAGTCTGTTTCCCAGAAAAAAAAACCGAAGAGCCCACAATATTGGAAGGTTCCAAAACGACTACGGCAAGAATGCTTATGCCACCTGAGCTGAAGCTTGCCAAAGAAAATTTTATAAAAAACTTGGAATCTCTTGTGGCAGACAGTCAAGCTGTAGAAAAAATACAGTTATCCAACAATAGCAGTGATTGGCTAGCATTGAGAAAATTTTTACTGACTGCTTCGAATTTTGGTAGAGTGGTTAAAAGAAAAAAAAGACCAGAGAATTTAGTAAAAGACGTTTTATACAAAGACAACATATCAGATATAACGTCTATAGCACACGGGATAAACAATGAGAAAATTGCGTTAGAGCAACTGTCAGCACAAAATAATATTTTCATAGAACCCTGTAGACTATTTGTGGATAACAAGACTTGTTCACAACATCAGCCCAGTGTTGCAATCAAAGGCAGCTTTATCCATAATTGTCAGAATCAAAGACAGCTAAATCCAATAGTTGGTATCAAACACAGGTATGTACAGCACAATTTATTTAAAATAGCCGTTCTATCCTCTTACAAGATACGTGTGTTGGTACACCTGCTTATTTCGTACCAGAGCATCCTGTCAAACAGTCGTATTTACGGTATTGCCAAATGAATATAAGTTTTTTTCGTTTTGTGGAAAATAATTTCATACGGATTTAGCTGCCTTTGATACTATAAAGAAGACTAGGATGACTAGCTCCAAGAAAAGGATACTTAGTATCCTTTTCTTGGAGCTAGTCCCGATGGAATAGTGGAAGTCAAGTGTTCAGTAGCTCCGGGTAAAGTTGGAATGGACGAAGCCATCAAAACAAACAAAATACAAATTTACAAACACAATGAAAAAACGAATCAAACTGTAATAAATAAAAACAGCAATTGGTTTTTCCAAGTTCAAGGCCAGCTTATGATTGCTGGCCGTGAAAAATGTATTTTCGACATTTGGGGAGTGAGAAGGAACCAATCAAATAAAGAAAGACGAAAAATTTTCGAAGGAAACAATGGAACGAAAGTTGGTAGAGTTTTATATGAATCAAATACTACCTGAGCTGGTAGAGTAGTGAAGAGAAAGAGAATTTAAAAAATCAAACAAGGTTCTGGTTCCATGCAGATGCCTTTTTGTACAACAGATATTATCAGATATTAACATTATTGTAACATTTTTTGAGTGTATTGTAACATTTATGGTTTGTAACACAAACAGTGACTGTTAAAATATTGTGTAATATAAATAAAGAACAAAACATAAGAGGCTGTATATTCATTATCGACTTTACATCTATATTACGAAACAATAAAAACAATAAATATTCCCGAAATATTGAGGTATTCTATAACGCAAAAGGTCACAGAAACAAATATGCCGTACCTAGAAACTTGATTGATAGTAAAGTACAATAATAAAATATCCGGTGTCCTAGTATACAGACTTAGCAACAGTAAGAGCGCTTGGAGACGTCCGTTTTTTTCACCGGATAACGAACCGTCAATAAACGGCTATCCTTGTATACATATTTTTTTTACCGGATGGATAGACTGCCGTCTATATGCGTTAGTTTTGAACTGGTAGTCAGAGATTACACACGTGTAAAATAATAAGAAAAAAAACTCGTATTGGCCTACTATTTGTACAAGAAGAAACAAAAATAAATAGAAAAACATAAAAGGTCATCGTGGGTGCATCCTGTATTATTAGAAAGGGAAAAATATGGTGCATTTCAAACTCTTTTTACGCAGTTGGAAGAAGATGTAACTAAATTTTACAATTATTTTCGGGAGAAGAAAGAAACCCATTTTTAAAAGAACGCAGGTAGACGGCACTCAATTAACAGAAAACAGGCAATACGTCCGGCAGCGTCAACACGCACCAATACACTGGCGTGGATGACCGCCGTTTCTTACACCGGACCGGTGTCCGTCGCGCCAAGGGGAAGCGGTGGTGCATCCGGCGTAAATTGTTCGCCGGCATCACACTCTTCGATCGACTGCCGACCTGTGCGGACGTCTGCTCCTGCGCCATCTCGCTGCCATCTCGCTCACTCCTTGTGAGTCATCGCCGCCTGCCGCTGTACAGTGCGCACGCGCTGTCCGACTGCTGCCTTGCTGCCTGCTGCCCTCTCATTGGTCGCTTCGCGTCTTCGGTGATTGGACATCGCGTTGAAGGCTGCAATTTATGAGCGCGGGTTTACCTGCGGCCGTCCGATAGCCACCTAACGGTGCCAAACGGTTATCGAACGGTTAACGCCTTGTGCGGGTGTTTTGTCCGGGGTGCATACACCGTGCCTTTTTCAAGGCGCGAATCAGCCCCACCGCTTCCTCCAAGTCCTGTGCGCAGCCGGGCCTCTTAGTAGGCACTTATTAGGGAGTAGGCACGCCAACTACTCTCTTGAAACCGGCTTCAATCAGGTCCATTGTTGGACGGGTCCTGTCACATCCGCAGGGGCTCTATTTACCCAAACTCCTGCGGGCTGGTTAGGTCTGTGACAAATCTCACCTCCGCTATCACCAGCGGAGACACATACATATTAGGGCAAACCACAGCTTAGGTACTCACACGTTAGACGTAGGTACACACTCGCCGCCAAACTGTCTGGCTTCCCGCCTACAGGATGGCGTCCGAGGTTCAACCGCCCGATCTAAATAAAATATTTTCATTTTTAAAAGAGCGTTTTCCTGACGCTATTAAAGCTTTTTTACGAGTCAGAGTGCACTGACTCACCCCGTTCGCCGTCTCCGTCGCCGCGTAAGACGAGAAAAAATGCCTCCGCGAAGGCACCGCGCAAAAATAGCATTTTATCAACCGACCAATCCCGTGCTCGCTCGCGCTCGCGCTCACCACTCCCTGAAGTGAGAAGCGCAAGCGATGGGGAGACGGATTTAGCGCGTCCTTTGTCGGCAATGTCGGCCTAATCCGCTCCGGCGGAAACGGTTGACGAAGCCGTTTTATCTTCATCCTCGGAATCCGACGGATTCCAAACCGTCGGACGTAAGAAAAAGCGCTCGGCTAACGGCGGCCCACCCGCGAAAAGGCCTACTCAGCCGACAAACCCTCCGAAGAGGGATTTAAGTTCGTTGTTATCGGACAAATCGGACAAACCTGTGCCCTCCGCCCCCGCGGATCGCATCAAAACCCCTCCGCCCGTTTATGTTAGGGACAAGGGCGTATGGCCCACCCTTTCTAAGCTTCTCGACACTAAGTCGATTAGTTATAAAGCCCGAACTTTGAGGGATAACATTTGCATACAGGTGTCCACACCTGAGCACCACCGGTTCCTTAACTCTTACCTTCGTTCCGAAGGTATCGGAGGTAACACTTTCCCCTTGCCCGAGGAGCGCGTCCTTAGGGTAGTTATCAAGGGCATCCCGAAGGAAATAGACTCCGGGGTCGTCCAAGTAGATCTGACCGAGCAGGGATACCCCGTAAGGGATGTATTCCGTATGCTAAACCGCACCACCAAAGAAGAGTACGATATGGTACTTGTAGTCTTAGACCCTACTCCAAATGGGAAAAAGATTTTTAACCTTCGGGAGTGCTGTAAGCTCTCGGGTTGAGGGTTGTAACTCCCCTCAAACACTCTTTTACACGGCAGTGTCATCGCTGTCAACTCTACGGGCACGCAGCCCGAAACTGCTTTGCGAGGGCGCGGTGCGTCAAGTGTTTAGGCGACCATGGCACCTCGGACTGTAAGCGGACACTCCCGTGCGCTGAGCCGCCGGCATGTGTGCTTTGCGGGCAACATGGGCACCCTGCGAATTATCGCGGTTGCCCTAGAGCCCCCAAGGCGCAAAAGTCGTCGGCTAGGCGCATGGTGGGACGCGATGCGGCCCGTCGTGGCATGGGAGCAAAGCCCACATACATACCGGCCCCGCCTCCCGAATTTAGTCCCTGGGCCAACCCCCCCGCTACGCAGGGCCCTCCCCAACTCACGACAGAAGCCTTCCCGCCTCTGCCATCTAAATCGGCAACCGCAGCGCCTTCCCAGGTCCCTGCGCCAACCTCCATCCTAAAAGAGAGGCCCACATTAAATGCGAGCCCTCCCACTAAAGCCCTCAGCCCTCCCGTGAAGGCATCTGAGGAATCAGGCAACGTCCGCGACGCTTTTAATCTTGCGTTTAGCGTAATAGGCGCTATAGACTTAGACGCACTCGTCGCATTCGCGGAAGCATTTAAGTCCGCTAAAAGCGCGTCCACCAAGGTGGAGGTAATAACCGAGCACGCCCTGCTCCTTAAATCCGTGCGGCAATTCGTAGATTCTAACACACCGCAATAGCTACGACCACGTCTAGGGTCAAGGCTCGATCACTGTCCGTAGTGACTTTCAACGCAAACGGTTTCAAGCCACAGTTCCTCGTTCGTCACCCAATTGATATTTTCCTAGTACAGGAAACGTTCCTAAAGCCCAGCGTTCGCGCACCTAGATTCGCGAACTATTCGCTAGAACGCGGTGCGAAACGACCGACCTACGGCGAAAGGCGGTACGCTCATTTATTATAGACGTGCGCTCCACTGCTCACCGCTAGACCCGCCCTCCCTAACCAACATAGAGTGCTCTGTGTTACGCGTGGCTATGACCGGTCATCAGCCGATTATCATCGCATCGGTGTACCTCCCTCCCACTAAGGACATATTAGAGAGCGATCTTAGGACCCTGTTTGCACTGGGCCCCTCAGTCTTACTGGCCGGGGACCTGAATAGCAAGCACGGGGACTGGAATAGCTCAAAACAAAACCCTAATGGGCGAGCCCTCAGTAGGCTTATTGACGTACTCAATTTTAATGTCATTGCCCCCATTCAACCGACTCATCGCGGTATAAGTTGTAACGGTCTTCTCTCAACGGACGTCCTAGATGTGGCGATTCTACGCAACGTGGCACTGCAGCCGCGAAGCATAGAGGTGCTACACGAATTAGACTCTGACCACTTCCCGGTTCATTTTGAATTCGGCCCTCCTAACACCCAAGAGAAGAGGTACAAGTCCATTGTCGACTGGCAGAAACTAGACGAGGCCCTCAAGCCCGTCGAAGTCTCTGACCTTAATAACATCCCCGACAATTTAGTCTCGTCCGCTCACGCGTTAGACGCGCTCTCTTCGGTCACTAATTACATTCAGACCAAGGTCGCCGAATCGTCCCGGAAGGTCCCAGATGAGTTCACTCAACGTTGGGAGCTTCCCCCGGACGCAAGGCGCTTACTGACCGAGAAGAACGCGGCGACTCGCGCCTTCGCAAGGGCACCGACCGATGATAACCGTAGAGCACTCCGCGCCGCGCAGCGCCGAGTTAAAGAGCGCATACGGGAAATTAGAAACGAACGCTGGGACCGTCTTACCAGCGAATTGTCACCTTCACACACGGCCTATTGGTCTCTCGCGCGTTCCCTAAAAACCGACACGGTGGCCTCCATGCCCCCGCTAAAACGTCCAAATCAGCCTGACGCATTCGATGACGACGAAAAAGCCGAGTGCTTAGCCGTAAACCTAGTGGAGCAGTGCACGCCTTATCTCGACCATAGCGACCCGGCGCACGTTGAGCACGTGAACCGCGAAGTCAAACGCATAGTCGCACTGCCCCTCCCTCCCGAGCCGCTCCCTCCTACGTCGATCGCCGAGGTCAAAACTCTAATCAAGGGTTCACTGCCTCGTAAATCACCAGGTCTCGACGCCATCTCAAACAAGGTCTTACGATGCCCGCCCCATCTGATATGCTTACTAGTGGCCATATTCAATTGCCTTCTCGAAAACTGCACCTTCCCGGCGCAGTGGAAAGAGGCCATTGTAATTGGTATTCACAAACCAGGCAAGCCCCGTAACAATCCCACCAGTTACCGCCCTATCAGCCTTCTAAACACGCTAAGCAAGCTATTCGGAGAAGGTAGTTAAAAAGCGTCTCCTAGACTTTGCCCTAGAAAAGGGGCTCATTCCCGATGAGCAGTTTCGCTTTAGACCAGGCCACTCGTGCGTCCACCAAGTCCATCGAATCACGGAGCACATCCTTTCTGGGCTGAACAACAGCACCACGAGACCGAGAGCCACGGGTGCGCTCTTCTTA